GTGCTTAATTACAAACAAACAACATTAACAACTTCCAATTAGCAACAGCTGCTGTGACAGTTTTCATTTGTTTTGTTTTTTTGTATTCTTGGAGTATACTAGTTTATGACATAATTATGCAAGAAGTCGACAAACAGTTTGAACAATATAATACTACTTTCTTCAAATCAGTCCAATAATTAGTAGTTGAACAATATAATACTACTTTCTTCAAATCAGTCCAATAATTAGTAGTTGAACAATATAATACTACTTTCTTCAAATCAGTCCAATAATTAGTAGTTGAACAATATAATACTACTTTCTTCAAATCAGTCCAATAATTAGTAGTTGAACAATATAATACTACTTTCTTCAAATCAGTCCAATAATTAGTAGTTGAACAATATAATACTACTTTCTTCAAATCAGTCCAATAATTAGTAGTTGAACAATATAATACTACTTTCTTCAAATCAGTCCAATAATTAGTAGTTGAACAATATAATACTACTTTCTTCAAATCAGTCCAATAATTAGTAGATGAAATTGAATCCTGAATTGTACTATGGAAGAAGTATTGTTTACTGAATTATAAACAAGACTTGACTGCTGTAACTGGGGAAGAGAAACAATAGGCCCTCCACCCAAAAAGTTCAAATATCAATTAATTTAGTGTAATTGTTGCTCTTAAGTAAAAAACAAGAAAAAAACACTCGTGAACGATATAATATTATATTGACCTGAACTAATATTGCTACGCTTTCATAAGCTTAGGTTGTTTTTAGCGCAAAAACACACCTTGTCCGCCACGGGAATCAAATCCTGAATTCTCGCACTTTAACCCTCAAACTTACTGTTCAGCTGACAAGGAGCGCCTGAATTGTAGTTTATTATAAACTACATTGACTCGTATTTGTTTCTAGTTGATCGAAACACGGTTTGTAGCATTATTAGTTCCCAGACTTACCGCTGTGCCACTGGGGGCCTCATAATGTAAACGTTTAGAATACTTGGGGAATTTATTTGTTAAGTAGTTACCATGGAAATATCTTCTTTTTTTTTCACAATTCTTTCTTAACCACACCACACTAAACCTTACGCGATCTGTTAAATAACTCTCCAGTGACGACAATGAAATCCGTATTTATAAAAAATCCTCTTCCAGCTAGTCAGTGGGGTCGTATGTATGTTGGTGATTAGTTTACAAACCGTGCGATAATTATGTTACTTCCTTTATTTTACTGTTCTCGATGAGAGAATCAGATTACGTGAAACTTAAGCCACAGTGTATAGTTGTATTTTGATGAAAATGTTTGTTGTTGTATGTTCCAGTTTGTCAACGTAGAGATGAATAAGGAATTAAGTTATTACATTCTCTTTCAAACCGAAATAACGTATAAGAACACTTGTCCTTCCAATTAGGCTTAGCACTCGGGTTTTCTTTGCTTTGTATTTACATCTGATATATATATTGCGAACTGTGGTGTCTGTCCGAGCGTTCGTCTCTCTCCTGTTTGAAAAGATGCGCACGCAAGCAAAGCTCAACATTCACTTTTGAAATGATGAAAGAACAGGTATGAATAATGTTGGTGCCAAATTTTATTTCTCAAGCAGGATATTCTACACTACATTGTTAGGAATTAATCACACTAGCATTCACATTTCTGACGTAACTTAAAGAATAAAAATGTAGATTTACCGTATATTATTGTTGAGCGGCTCTTAGCATGACTGAAATGCTCAACAATGACTTTTCGCGGTGGGCGGTATAAGTAGCTCAGAGATTTGGCTCTGGGTCAAACACAGTTAACCTTGTTTAAAGTCTATGAAATAATTTAAACTGATAGATTAATTTAAACATTTCCGGTCACTGGGGACGGGTGCTTTTGCTTGTAGATTATAATACGAAACATATTAACCTACACTAAATAACGTAGCCCATTCTGTGGTTAAGAGACATATCAGCTCCCGCCAGCCCTTACGGCTTGGTCGAAACTTAAGTTTTCAGATGGAATTGGCTTTGGTCTACAGTAGGAACTAAAATTCTTTTTACTACGTTCTCTTTCCTTTTCTAGAGGGTCTTTGGGCAACAAAAACGATTTTACAGCTCACAATATTTCCGTGATAGTAAATAGTAAAAGAGTTTTTTTGTTATTTTGACTAATGTGTACGCCGCTCGCCCCAGTGGCTCAGAAGCAGGTCTCCAGTCTTACAACGCTAAAAATTGGGTTTCGATGTGGTGGGCACATCACAGATAACACATTGAGCTTAACAACAACCAATCATAAAGTGTATAACTTAAACAAATGTTAATAGTGATATCACCAATCTTTCCATTCGATTTCTGATGTATATCCATACTTTTGTTTTGTTATTACAGGGTCCACTGATAGCAGCAGCTTTTACAAATGGCTACCATTGAGTTAGAGCAATAAGGGGCCCGCAGCCAAGTGGTCTGGTAAGGTAAAGTCTTAAAAAAATATCTCTAAAACAAATTTATCATAAGTTGGAAATAATTCTATCCTATAAACGACTCCTTATTTTCTCGCGTATTTAAATATATAATCAAAAATCTTTTATAGCAACGAATGATTATCTATACAAACGTGGAGAATCAGATGACGAAACATTTCCAAAAAGTTTAAAAAACAAGTAAAAGAAAACAATAGCCAAATCATCTAGTATTATTTTGCTATCCATCTATAACCCTAGGTGCACGGGTTGATTAGAAGAACCAGAAAACGGGGATGGAGCTGATGGAAGACGGATACAGTAGGAAGAACGAGCAAACTTATTATTTTGCCATGAAAAAGGGCCGCGATTCAGTGGCGTGTGATAAATATAATGTTGAATATTAACAACCTTACCGAGGCAAACAGTGATGACATGTTGGAAACTCAACTTATGTTAGATGTTTGGAGTTATGATGAATATTAAAATGTTTTATTTTATATAAAATAATTTCAAAACAAGCTCACTGATTGATTCAATGTAGTTGTAAAACGTTACTCTACCCCCATTGCCTGATTAGAGAATTTTAAGGACTCGTGGAATGTGGAAATTGGCCCTCCTCCCCCAGCCTTTCCTCTTAGACTAAACAGAGTGTAAATATCAGAACATCTCCCTATATTATAACAAAAAACTTAAACCTTTCTCTGCAGAGAACATACGAGCACCACTGACAATGAAAATATTTAGTTTATTAATTATAAAAAGCCACTGAAGTAATAAGTAGGCTTAGGAATCATTGCGGACACCGTGTGAATGGGTGTAATATGCATTTGGAATATTTAACTTAATCGCACCCTTCAAATTCGTCGTTAAATATAAGTGCAGTCAAGAATTAAGTGGAGATACTAGGTGTCTTCATTTCCATCATTTGATAAAACACCTATATACATGACTGCAAATAAACGTGACGAAAGTTTATAAAACAGAACATAGGTTGTACGACACCTAATTAGTTTTTGAACGTCAATAGCAAATTTAACATCGAAATAATAGTAATAAAACTATGTCCAGAGAATTTGTTCGTAAATCCTTATGTTTTGTTTAATTCGCTATCAATAAATGTATTTTAAAGGATAAAATTACTGATTTTTCATTACCAGCATAATATATCATAATGATTTCCCATGTACGTTGGTTGTCGAAATCGTTTCCTGCAACAGATTTCAGAAGATATTTTTCGTGATTCGTGATTGGTTCATTGATGTCAGGTTCGGATAAAGCTATGTGCATTAGACTATTAAGGCAAAGTAGAACTACAAGTTTGAAGGAAAGCATTAGAATTGCTGTGGAATTGGAATCCATTGTGACTCAGGATGGTTGCTTAAAATGGCAAAGACATCAGGACATCTGACGTTCGGTACCTTCCGACTCTGAAGCTTACTTAAATAATCTATAAGGGTCAATAAAAAAAAAACTTTGCAACTTTCTAACAAGGAGAATTACCCAAAATTTAATGTGATGGAGAGTGGAATCAGTGATATTGTAGTACAAGAATACTAGGAACATTAAATATAAAAACCCAAGTTTTTGTTGTTGTAATCAACGAGCACATAATACGCGTGATCTAAATTCAAAAGGTCATCCCAGAAGCTTGTAAGAATACAGAGAAAGAAAGGGAGAAGCAGTGGTGGCAACAATGACGTGTAGCCAGCTTAATCTGGGATATATATATATATATATATACAAAAAGCTCATTGTTTAAGAAAACTTCTGGAGAATGAGAAGGACAATAGACGTGATAACGTGTCACATGGTTAGTAGTATTGGATCCATGGCCTCCAGTGTTTCTTCAGTTAGTAGTATTGGATCCATGGCCTCCAGTGTTTCTTCAGTTAGTAGTATTGGATCCATGGCCTCCAGTGTTTCTTCAGTTAGTAGTATTGGATCCATGGCCTCCAGTGTTTCTTCAGTTAGTAGTATTGGATCCATGGCCTCCAATATTTCTTCAGTTAGTAGTATTGGATCCATGGTCTCCAGTGTTTCTTCAGTTAGTAGTATTGGATCCATGGTATCCAGTGTTTCTTCAGTTAGTAGTATTGGATCCATGGTCTCCAGTGTTTCTTCAGTTAGTAGTATTGGATCCATGGTCTCCAGTGTTTCTTCAGTTAGTAGTATTGGATCCATGGACTTCCAGTGTTTCTTCAGTTAGTAGTATTGGATCCATGGCCTCCAGTGTTTCTTCAGTTAGTAGTATTGGATCCATGGCCTCCAGTGTTTCTTCAGTTAGTAGTATTGGATCCATGGCCTCCAGTGTTTCTTCAGACATAATCTCTAACAGCGAGCTATGCCATCAAAAATAAAACTGGAGGTTCAGCTGATGCACACAATAAAGGATAGTGAGATTTCAGTTAAGGGAAAGCTGAAAATCAGATAAAAAAATGCTTTTTGGAGATCGACTTCTAAGAGAAATTAACTTAAACAAGGAAGAAAGCCATGAAATTCAATAGCCCCGTACAGTCCATACAATGAGATATATTGGTATCAGTGGAGCTCACGTGATTATTCCCAGATCTTTTCGAACAGAAACTCTATCATCTCCATAACCTTTCAAAAGCTGAACAGAACACCAATCACAGGAATACTTTTAAGAGAAGATGTGAAGGCTTCCACTGAGTTGTCAAAAGCTGAACAGAACACCAATCACAGGAATACTTTTAAGAGAAGATGTGAAGGCTTCCACTGAGTTGTCAAAAGCTGAACAGAACACCAATCACAGGAATACTTTTAAGAGAGGATGTGAAGGATTTCACTGAGTTATCAAAAGCTGAACAGAACACCAATCACAGGAATACTTTTAAGAGAGGATGTGAAGGATTCCACTGAGTTGTCAAAAGCTGAACAGAACACCAATCACAGGAAGAGTTTTAAGAGATGGTGTGAAGGATTCTACACACCAATCACACGAAGAGTTTTAAAAGAGGGTGTGAAGGATTCCACTGAGTTGAATGTCAACAATCGCAGCAGAGGTGGTGCATCAACTTATGATTTGTTTCAGAATTGCGTGCAACTAATAGAAAAGGCAAGCAGTCAATAGCACCTACAAAAACTCTTCGGTTATTCTTGTTTAATGAATTGTGGAATTTGACTGTTACTCTTATAGCAATCCCTCCTCCCATCCGACCCTAAAGTGCAAAGCGCGTTTTTGCAACAACGGATTGCGAACAATGTATCCTTGGATTCACGGAACAACTTGCGATGTGAAGGAATAAATTGTTGGAACACCACCTAATTTTGCTCAAATCAAACAATGGAATTAAAATGTATATCATGGAAGTATTAAAGTCTTTAAGAACTTGGACATATGTTATACCAAGTCAGAAAGCTGAAACACTGGCATAAACGTTAATTCGTGAATTTATATCAAAATATGAAGAACCATTACGTGAAGATGAGTATAATAATCCTCTAAGGTATGCCACTGAAACTGTTCATGAGTTGGCAATTGAGAAACTGAAGTCAGCCGTTGACACTGTTCGCGAGTAAGCCACTGAGAAACTGAAGTCAGACAGTGACACAGTTTGTGAGTTGGTCATTGAGAAACTGAAGTCAGCCGTTGAAACTGTTCGTGAGTAAGCCACTGAGAAACTGAAGTCAGACAGTGACACAGTTTGTGAGTTGGCCATTGAGAAACTGAAGTCTGATAGTGACACAGTTTGTGAGTTGGTCATTGAGAAACTGAAGTCAGCCGTTGAAACTGTTCGTGAGTAAGCCACAGAGAAATTGAAGTCAGACAGTGACACAGTTTGTGAGTTGGTCATTGAGAAACTGAAGTCAGCCGTTGAAACTGTTCGTGAGTAAGCCACTGAGGAACTGAAGACAGACAGTGACACAGTTTGTGAGTTGGCCATTGAGAAACTGAAGTCAGACAGTGACACAGTTTGTGAGTTAGCCATTGAGAAACTGAAGTCAGCCAGTGACACTATTCACGAGTTAGCCAATGAGAAACTGAACTCAGCTGTTGACACTGTTCATGAGTAACCCATTAAGAAACTGAAGTCAACCAGTGACACTGTTCAAGAGTTGGCCTTTGAGAAACTGAAGTCAGCCAGTGACTCTGTTCATGAGTTGGCCATTGAAGTACTGAAGTCAGCCAATGACCAGAAAAAGAGTGCTATTCATGAGGAAAGTGATAACTTTTGGGTTAAAAGTTTGGCAGATTGGCATCTTTTGTTTCTGCTAAAGTAGGTTTGGTTTGGCTTCGTTTGAATTTTGCACAAAGCTACACGAGGGCTATCTGCGCTAGCCGTCCCTAATTTAGCAATGAAAGACTAGAGAGAAGGCAGCTAGTCATCACCACCCACCGCCAACTCCTGGGATACTCTTTTACCAACGAATAGTTGGATTAACTGCCACATTATAACGCCCCCACGGCTGAAAGGGCAAGTATGTTTGGTGGGACGGGGATTCGAACCCACAACCCTCAGATTGCGAGTCGAGCGCCCTAACCACTTGGCCATGCCGGACCTATTTTGGTGTTATTAAGCACAAAGCTATACAAAGGGCTATCTGTGCTCTGCCCAACACGGATATCTAAATCCCAGTTTATAGAAGTACAAGTCCGAAAACACACAACTGTGCTACAGGGGGGCGTTAAAGTAGAATGCTTTTCCAAAACAAGAATAGCGCTACATGAAATGAAAAAGTTTCAGAAAGAAAATTCTTCGAAAACCGATTATCACTTAAAAATAGAATCTTAGTGAATCGAGAGAGTATTCATAGTTTACTATTGTCTACATACTTTTATTTACAGTAATTAGGGTTACTGTTTTATCGTTTACTTCTTGATTAGTCTTAGAGTTTTGGTAGAACATTTAGTTCATTGTAAATAAATTAATTACGCAGTAGAGTGAGACAACAGAAACAAATTGAATTATGATTATTTAGAAATAAATATAAGCCAGTGATCAAATTGAAAGTTTGAAGAAACGCTGCAAGAAAACATACGTGATTATACTGATTAAATTTCTGTATCATATATAGATACTTTTCGTACCCACAATTCCATGAATATACGGAATTATCTATGGTATAAAATGCAATCTTCTAGCCCCCCCCCCCAGTAGCACAGCGGTATATCTGCGGACTTACAACGCTAGAATTCGGGTTTCGATACCCGTGGTGGGCAGAGCACAGATAGCCCATTGTGTAGCTTTGTGCTTAATTACAAAACAAACAAGCAATCTTCTATTTGTTTATATCGATGGTTCATGGATTTAAACACGGTATAGTCACAATTTCGTCAATGTTGACTCCAATACATTGGAGAAATAAAAATGCCAATACAAGTTAGTATTCAATAGAATAACACACACCCAAGACTCTGCGATACCGATCTATCTGCAGTAGTCCATCATGCCAGAGAATAAGACAATACAATAAATTGGAATAATACTGAAATAATGGGATATGAACCCCATACGAGAAAAAGAAAGATAAAAGAAGCCCACTACATCCACCTAACTGATAATACACTCAAACATAGGAGTCAGCTAAACCTATATACCCCTCCTGGACACTCAAACATAGGAGTCAGCTAAACCTAGATACCCCTCCTGGACACTCAAGCAACCTAGCATAGGAGTCAGCTAAATCTGGATACCCCTCTTGGACACTCAAACAACCTATCGTAGGAGTCAGCTAAACCTAGATACCCCTCTTGGACACTCAAACAACCTATCATAGGAGTCAGCTAAACCCTGATATCCCTCTTGGACACTCAAACAACCTATCATAGGAGTAAGCTAAACCTGTATACCCGTCTTGGAAACATTCAGATGGGAGATCCAAAACAAAACAAAACTCTGGTTCGAATCACGGCCATTACCAGCAGATTATCAAACATAATGTAGGATAACACTTGTTAATAAATCATAAAAACTATTTAATAATAGCTACTAACCCTAATTGTTATTAGTTTTATTTAACCAGTTAAGTTTTCATCCGTTTAAACAAAATACAAGGCATCAACCAGGTGCCATAACATAATATGTATATTCTGTTATTTAAAAAAACAAAAGTTATTAAATTCCATATACAGAAGCAGATAAATTGCCATCTCACAAGGAAATGGAAATATTACTGTGGATAAATGGAAAGGAAGTAGTTCTGTCATGGATTGAATACGTTTCTCTTATGGAATGGAAACATTCCCAGTGCCCCTGCTGCCGGAAATATTTCTGTAAAAGTACAGATTTATTTTTCGCAGTGAGGCGAGGGACTTCCTTTTTCATTTCCATATTTCTTCTTGTTTCTTTTTTTAATAACTCTTACTCTGATAATTACGTCGTATTTTATCAGAGGAACAGAAAAGTCATAACTAAATTAGAAAGGAGGAGGAACGCCGTTCCCTTATATTAAGACCCAGTTCTCTAGAAAGGAGGAGAACGCCGTTCCCTTATATTAAGACCCAGTTCTCTGGCGTTACTCCTCCTTTCTGTTCCCCTATATTAAGACCCAGTTCTCTAGAAAGTAGGAGTAACGCCGTTCCCTTATATTAAGACCCAGTTCCACGCCTGTAAATGACCTATTTTAATTCGTTGAAGAAGTAACATCGAATCATTGTGTACAACGTACTACACGTATGCGGTTACAGTTTAGTCATCTCAGGATCAGTGATGTACATTAGGAATCACTATTTCACCTCTCTATTCCAATAAGAAAATAATAGAAGGCAACATCAATCCCTCTGTTGTATACACGCAGAGGTATATGAAAATCAATTTGCTTTTTACCAATTTGTAAGTTAACAGGCAAAGTTCAATACATCACAACATCTCTCCATTAGAAACAACAACTATGTTGCGATAAGTTCTTGCCTGTTACAATAATCAGTATAACGAACTGTCCACCAAACACTGGATAAGATCACTCATTCTTGGTGCTATTTTTGTTTGTATTTATGCGTGTGTATGTGTGAAACTCGTGTTATTAGGGACCTCTTAACAACAAAAATCATCAAGCAACTTGATGTATAAATAATGTGGACCAGTGTATTTCAAAAGCGTTATTTCTAGGGTTCATAAATAACATAATATTGTTCAAAAAAGGTGTCACCGTTTTACATTGGCACAATACGTTTTCACCCAAAAAAAAAAACATTTTTGTTAAATATTTTTGAAATTTAAAAATCCTCTAACCATCTTTTGAGCTTGCTTGTGTAAATAAATATATATACCAATTAAGAAAAGTACTAGCACAGAATATCCACCCTAAAACCTGATTTCATGTTTAACCACGTAATATTTTGTTGTTGTTTTTTTTACTCATTTTTTTTAAAAAAAACTAACCTATTTAATATTTTTCACTATAGATTGACAGCTGAGTGAGAGCTCCTCCGGAACGCTTAGGATGACATGAGTAATCTTTGCTTTCCTGTTTCTTATGGATATATATGTAAAACCGTTGGATTGCATCTGCTTGTTGGTATTTTTTTATTATTTTTTATTATTATTATTGAAGGAACAGTGAACGGTGAAGGTTGTTTCGGTAAAAGACCTCTTCCGCTTCCAATCATAGGCCCCATGGGATCGGACGATGTTGTATTTTATGGTTTGGAAGGTTGAACAGGTGGGGGGAACAAATGTTGTTTTCGATTTTGTTTCCTTCCCTACACGGCTTTCTGATTGGAGCTGCCAGTTATGGACACAAAGATGACGACGTTCTTGTCTTTAATGGTTTGAAGTTGCAATGTCGTGGGTGACATGTGGATGCATTACCTTTTCAGTGCTGTGTAATTTAAATTGTATTGTTCAACTTGTCACATCGTAATACAGTGATAATATTGTTACTAATGTCGTCAAGTGCTGTAAGTTGAAAAAAAAATGTTCTCCTGTTTTGTGTTATTAATGCTGATGTTACGTGAAGTGAGTTTTATATTGTTACAGCAAGGCAGTTATATGGAATTGTGGTTTATAATCAAGTTTATTTACGACGTAGGTGTGTGTGTAAGTCTATTTTAATTTCACGGTTTACAAATTCAAATGTTTCTATTGGGTAACTTGTATAAGTACTGAAACTTGTTGGTTAAATTGTATGGTTTTGCATAAAAATAATACTGTGAGTTATATACGGAATCAACTACATACAATATCATGATTTACGTTTTTGATGTTAAGTGAAAATCGTTCAAAACAAGTGACCAAATGATTAATTATTCTTTCTCTTTCTGTATATAGATTCTAAATATCAACACCGTTTCTCACTAACATCTCTTACAACAGCAAGTACATACTTTAGATGTTTTAGTCGATATCTTCGTATGTTTTAAAATAAATGTTTTAAATTTTAATATTTCTTTAACATAAGTAAATAATGTTATACTTGTATAAAAAATTCGCAAAACTTGTATCAAACCTTTATCACATTCGTTAGTTAATTTTAAGCAGTTTAAGAAAAGGAATTTAATAAAATAGGAGCTGATATTTTTGAAACGGGTAAAGCCTTCCAAAGCCTGCCATTATATAAAGCTATTTATTCGCAAGCAATATTTTAAACAAATTGCTAAATTAAAAATTAAATACAGGAGTGGAGTGTGAACTCGAGTACATATAAAACAAATAATTAAGTTCTCTACAGTATGAAGCAATGCATTTAGCGGACCATTTCATTAGCCTTTTTAATGTAAAGTTTCACACTCAATTAGCGGTAAACTAGGCCTTAAAAGAAATTAGCATAGGTTTTCTATGTTGAAATTTTTAACTTTAGAGCTAAAAATATGAAAATTAAACTCACCAGTATGCAGAATTAGAAGTTTTTTTAATCGTAGAGCTTATATCAAAAGCTAGAATTCATCGATAAATTTACTTTTTATCACATGACATGCATTTATGTTAAATAGGCCTAAGCGTAACTGTTAAAAATGAAACGACCTTGACCGTCAACATTGTTTGTGTTGTAACTTTGATTTTTTTTCTTCAAATTTATTCTATGTACTGCATTATCCAAAGCAGATTTTAATTTCTTTAGAGATTGAGAAATAGCGAAATTTCATGGCTGCATCACCTAATTATACATATGTTTTAATTCAATTAGTTGATTTTATTAAACATCAGATACTTTTCATATTTACAAACAACGTCAAAATGTGACGTTATCATTGCACATGCGCACCAGTAGTCGACATAAAAACACAATTGGCTGTAGTTTCTGTAATGCTGTTTTACAAAACGTTAAGTGGACTCGTTATGAATACTCTGTCCAATATTTGTTGTGTAGAAAATTACAGTTATTTGCATCTGACATTGGCCATTCTGCTGCGTACCGAAGCTGCTACTAAATGAGGTATAAAAATATCCAACGGATAATATCCGTAGAGTGTGCATAACGTTAGTTTAATCGATCATGATTTTTGTTCTTGTTGTTTGTTATTTACCACAAAGCTGCATAATTGGATATCTACGCGGGAAATCGAACCCTGGATTTTAGCATTATATATATCTAGAAACTTACCGCTGACTCACTAAGGGACAATCGATCTTGCAATACTCCGAGTCAAATATAAAATTATAATTAGTTTTGGGAGAAAAACTGGTTAACGAATCAACTTGGAGAACTAAAAAAGTGAATATAATGCTCAAAGCATCTGACAAAAATAATTAAAAAAATGATTTGTAAATTTTGTGGAGACATTTGCCCTAAGCTCACTTAAATTACCCCACTGATACCAGTTCTTCTAAGTATATTTCGCTACTGAGAACTCAGTCTCCATAGGCCTGCTTGAGCACATATAGTAATACTGTTACTAACGCTTTAAAAGCCTTAGGATTTCATAAGCTTTTAATATTTCATTTTCGTATCGTATATAGGCAATTACTTTAAATGGCCGAAAGCTTATAATAGCACACTTGGTCCTAGGTTACATTTGAATTTTTATTTTAAATGAACAATATTTACATTTATAACAACTGTTAACGCCAGACTTAAAAAGCTCAATACTTTGTTAGAGAACACAACAGATACAATTTTAGAGCGTAATGGTAGTAAATCGGAAGGAATAAATGACGCGACGTAATATTAATACAACTTGGAAACAGAACATTTATTTGCACGTTTCGGACAGAGCGCCCTTCATCGGGTGCATTAGTCTCCAAAACCAGAATGAATTTTCAATGCAAAGAATCTAAAGTCACCTATGTAAACATAAAAGCAGCCGACACTGTGTAACTTCATGCTGGATTTTGAGAAGTCGACTTATATGGTTCTCCATTCCTTGCCGCTTACATCAACTTTCCTAATTGAAGCTCCAAACTTCCAATCCGTTTCCAAATTACATCATGCCAAGTGCGCCTCCTTCTCCAAATGTCGGTTTATTTCACAAACAGGGTCCACATTCCCACCCTGCATAGTAGAAGAGGCTATATGTTATGTTTTATTTGTGCCCCTTTTTCAAGTATAGTTTGACATCTTTCCCTCCAACAGTTGTTTCAAATGCTGGTTTTGCCATTCCTGCCCTTCGCTCTACCTCTTTTTCCACACTTACCACCACTAGTGATATTCGTTCCTAAATGAATAAACTCCTTTTCTTGTCCCATCTATTTAACCTTTTATTTTGACACATATTCTGGGAGCTTCCTTACATTGTCAACTTCTCACTGGCGGATTATAATGAGTGGATTAATAGTAGATGTGATTTATAACCGATTAACGTTAATCTTGCACTATTCGGATTGTATATACATTCACCTAGGCCGCCTACTAATAGGCATTATGAACATTATCACATGCAATGTGGTTGAAATATTATCTACTTCTAATTGTCCGTGTTTCAATAAATAAATAAATGCTAAGTCAATAATTTTAGTTATAGGATTTATTACTTTTTTCTTCCATTAAATTTGGTGATATGTAATAAAACGTAAAAGAAGTTCCTATTAAAAAGAAACACGATATCTCTAACGCTAACGTCTTGTAAAAACTGTATTCAGAACACTCACTTGTTATAGATGCGTAATGTACACGCTATTATTCACACCTTGTAAATTATATACATGGAACTGCTAATCAAATACTGAACTAGCAATAACGTGCCGCGCTTTCGACACTTCATTTCGACTGTGTTTGTGTCGTATCGTTATCTAATTCGTTATTGAAAGTCGTGTAAAATAATTATCAATACAATATACAAAACAGAGTCCAGTTATTCTGCGAGTCGAGAAAAACAAAACTACAACATCATCACCTGATACACGTGATCATCAGGTGATCTATTTCATCATTAAAGCAATAACGATACATTTAAGGTATTTAATTTTTCAGTAAATGATAATTGAATTTGTGTTGGCAATAACTGATATAAAATATCTGATAGATGTTTCTCTGATATTAAGCAATATTTAGTAAACAAAGAAAAGAAATCAGACACGAGGGTAGAGTTGTTTATGTATGATTACTTTTTGGGATATGAGTTTCACTTTATTATTAGTTTCAATACAACTTTTGAGTGTTTTATATATATATACCTATTTGTGTGTGTGAAACTATGCGGATACAAAAGGCCATTCAAAAAAGTTGATTTTGATAGCCTAATTATTACGCTTATTTCTCGGTGTTTAATATTTGATTATCGTTTAATCACTTTCTATAAAAATCACTAAGGATAACATTTTCCTTTTTGTTTCCCCTTTTCTTTTCATCCCACACGTGTAATTCACATATTTTCAACATTAATATTGTATATTCATTAGAGGAAGTATGACCTGTAGCGACATCTATCATGATCAGGTCAGTCGAGAGTACAGAGAGTAAGAAAACGTCAACGTATTGTTTTGTGTAAATGGTGTTATATATATATCTATCATTACTACACTCGTCAAAGTCTCTCTGGTTTCTTATATGTTCAAACTTATTGTGTTTCATGCTAAGGATATAACTTTTTTCAATGTTTGTATTTTAAACAAATAACGAATCTTTGGTGATTTGATATAGTAATTCTGATCACACGTCATGAATGTTATGAGCTGTGATTGGCAGTATTTGTAAATATAGATAGAATTCTCAATAATGAAGTATCACTCTAAGGATAATGATGCCTTACCCTCCCTTCAGAAAATATAGAAAACTCCCTGTTCAAAAGCAATAGCTATCTTCAGGACTCTGGATTTTTACTATAGTAACAAACCTCCGTCTGAGGCCTTGTAAATGATGTTTAACCATATTGTTTGGATACCTGACTTTAGGTATACCTGTACATCATCTGTTGTATTGATATATTATATGTGTACACATATATATCCACACAATGTACATGTCTGTAGCATGTGAATGCTTGTACATTCTGCTACGATATACCTGTTTCATATTCTATCTTATATATATAATGATAATTATGCATATTAATGTTACGTCAGGCTTGACGCAGTCTCCGTTTTAATGTGCGAATGCATTTTCCTCGTGGTGTCTATTCTATACTTGTAGCGACACCTAGCGTTGGGAAGTTATGCAGTTTTATGACTGACTGACCTCTGACGGTCACGTTTTTTAATAACGTTAGCGTCACTGTCACTGCATTATGTGGCAAAGACTACGTGCACTTTATGTATCTTAATGACGTGCAAAATAGGCTTAATGCAATTCGGATTAATACTGTTCTCGAATACAAGATTTCTTATTCTTCAGTGTGTTTTTTATGTGTTTGTGTGTTTCTTTTTTTTATTGTTTTTTCAGAATTAAGTCTCGAGGACAAAATTCATACAACTCAAGGTGTGCATCTATGTCTCATTACTTGTGTCCTAGATTTTATTAGTCAACTATAATATGTATTCTGCCTCGTTTACAATGCGATTGTTGTCTTACTAAAAGTTGGAAATAATATATAGAACCTGTACATATGATGTACTATATGAACAGCTAGTGCATACCTTGAGAGTTTGAAAGATGTTCTTCATTACGTAGGACGAGGGTGCTCCTCGTGCTTACTAGGATCTCAGAAGCCAGCTATACAGTGTATTCCGTTAAGAAGATTTTTGCTTGGTCTTAGCGATAAAAATCGGTATACGTCATTTAATTTATTTTCTCGGATTTTTATTCAGCTTATTGTGAACAAGAGGCTAATACTCTGTTTTATACTCCTTTTTTATATGAGTATTCTATAAATACAGGAATCATTTGTTTGATTTTTGAAAGACTGTGTATATGACTTGGAGTAAAATAATTTCAGACAAAAAAAACTTGTTTAAAAAGATTTGGGTACTGACGACTACTCAGGATATTTCGAAAAACATCATTCAATGCATGCGAGAGTTGAATTAATTGACTAATCAAAGAACAGAACGGTAAGAAAACTTTATTGTTGTTAGAAACAGAGACCACAAAGAGACTCTAGTTATTGTGTCTTTAAGGTTTTGTTCGAAGAACGTTCAGATTAATAAAGAATAAATTGTTTAACAAAACGATTTAATTTTATTCGCACTAAAAATATCACCCCTAAGCAGGAACATAGAGTTATGGAAGTGTAAAATGACTATATAAGTCACAAATTAATGCTGTTTCAAGTTACCCTCATTCTCAAACGAAATATGAAATACTGTAGGTGAGAATTTAACATATTAAATCCTGGACAACACACACAAGGCATTACAACGACTGAAATAAAACAGTTAACGCACTAGCCTGAAATCAATAGTTTCTACACGTGTATTTTACATCAATTATTTAGACAAACAGCAATAAAAGCAAGTCACACAGCCGGCAAAAACCCATACCATTCTTATTTGCATAATTGAAACATCTAGCGAAGAACGTTATTTGTTCATTTCGGTTTTAAACAACTTACATCTGTAGCGAATGAATGAGAGTCGAAGCTGAAAAAACTTCTTTTTTGTTTTAGACAAATTCTGTACAATATACAAGTTTTCCTATTTTCTTCATACACGCTTGTGAAATTCAGTCATTTTAAATTCACAAAAGATCAAATACATTATCAGTATAAAACATTCGTTAAGCGACAATGGTCTAGACTTTAGATTTTTTTTTATTGGTTAAGATATATTTATATATATTTTTACCCTGAAAATCTAAATTGTTTGTTTTTCAAAATTATAGCGTACTTATTACACTTACTTTATAGGTTGGTTTCAATTTTGAATGAAACTTCCGAACACGTTGAATATTTAAATAAAAATATAAGTTATATTTCCTAAGTTCGTTAAAGATTAATCATTTAATTGTTGGGTTCATATACGAAGGTTATTTTTTCAAACCTAATTAAAATGAAAAATTTCATGTTGAGTGAACTGACAGAAGAGTTTTGTTTTTATTTCATTCATTCAGTAAATCTGGGGTTCAGACAAAGTCCGCTGTTTTATTAAAAACAAAATTACTGATAGCTATTTTAGAATGGTACGTTGATGAAAAACGTGCTCGTCCTTTCAGCCGTGGGGGCGTTATAATGTGACGGTCAATCCCACTATTTGTTGGTAAAAGAGTAGCCCAAGAGTTGGCGGTGGGTGGCGATGACTAGCTGCCTTCCCTCTAGTCTTACACTGCTAAATTAGGGACGGCTAGCGCAGATAGCCCTCGTGTAGCTTTGCGTGAAATTCAAAACAAAACAAACAAACTAACTATAAAATTAAGTAAAGATTGCTGCTTCAATGAATCACGAGTATGAGTGTGTAAAATATATTACCTTTTTTCGAACTTTTTTTCAATTCGTAGTTCACTTGAGTAGTCACCAGGAGGTGTTAGTTAGGGAAACTTTGAAAATGTAATGCAATATTATTTGAAACAGATATTAAATGTTTTAAAGCACTATATTTTCGTAAATGAAGCAAACAAAAAAAAAACAGTATATATCCAGTGCGCAAATACACACACATATACCGATGTGTTCCTTGATTAGAAAAAAAAATTATCTGCATTGGCCACCATTCGATTTTTTTCTATTCTGCTCTATGGTGAGTTGTCGTCAGTATTCATAATTTTTGTAACAAACTGATTTTTAACAAAACTGTTATGTAAAAAAGGAAATAAAGAATGGTATAAGATTGTCATAAATACAATTTTTGTAATTTTGTTTGTTTGTTAGTAGGTTTTGTGAATTTATTTCTTTTGAACCAGTACTGGCTATGTATGTGTATTGTACAAAACGACTCCGATGTTAGTTCAATAACAATGTTTTATTTTCCTCAAAGATGAAGAATTCATTAGCTAGAAACGGAAGTGTCATTGTCAGCTATGTACCTAAGACAAAATAATTGTAAAGACACGTCTATTTTTTAACATAAACCGTGTAAACAGGTTAAGACTACTAGCTCTTTAAATGACAACGATTCGAGAATACTTTGATGTTCAACCATATTATCGGTGCTAGTTGGAGTAGAAGTTGGTGAACTTTAGCCTAGAAATTTCTTTAACCTTTATCTTGGATGGTTGTTTACGGGAAAAAAATAAATAAATCTGTTTCCTGGAGTTTCCTTTCTGGGAGCTGGAGACGTTACAATTTCTTGTAAAAAAGGAGAAGTCGCTCCTAATTTGAACTTATCAGTATCTTGTTGTCCTGTATACACTGAAAAATGCATTACTGTATAGTCTCAGCCCTCTGCTCAGTGAAATGAAATCGTTTAAATAAAAGCTGTAACAGGGTTTACGTTCTTGGAGTAGAGTTTGGCTTTCTTCAGGGCTCAACACAGTCTCAGTACTGAAACATCCAAAATATCTCCTGCAAAGTAGACTTAGGTTTTAGTTACTTGTGATAAACCAAAGAATGAATCTACTACTATTACAGTTCCAGCACATATATAATACTTAATCCCGCGCTGTCAACTACGCAACTACCAGAATTCGCTATCTTGGACCCATCAACGTGAACTATGAGAGAAACCAATTGTCTGTTGTTTACGTATTGCTCTCAAATATAGAATACTAAAATTATCAAATAATTTCAAGAACATTCTGATCTCACAATAACGAATCTAACTTGTACCTCCCACGGAGATTATCTTTCTCGTGATACACGATTCTCGTGTTTGAGATACACGATTACTTACTTAGTGTTTGTACCTAAGCCTTTATTACCCCTCTCTGGGGCCGTCATCAACAACCCTCGGGTTTCCTCTCGTACAGCAAAATCTCTCTCAGACTAGCGGATGGTAAGGCTACTGCTGGGCTGGTTTGATCAATGTTTTTAATAACTAAATTGTCACTTTAAAGCCTTACTTTTCGTGTCTTTATAAAATGTTACTTGTTTTAACTCTATTTTTTCAAAGGCTCTTTAGCTTTGAAATTCCTCCTAATCTAACTTTCGCATTACAAAGATTACTTTAAGACCCCTGGATTATCCTTTTTTTTTGTCTAAAACACTACATTTAAGACCCAAGGAAATAAGAATATATTTACAATATTATAGCAATACAGTCTGTTTTATACCACGAATAAGTTCAATAACACATAGGACTCATTTTTAAAGTAATCCCTGTCCAGCCACTTTTGTTTTTCTGAGCAAGTGGAAACCTTAACCCTTAGCTACAGTTAGAAAACCAATACGTGTGTCAGCCTGAGCTACAAAGTAAGATGATGATTTACAGAAATCCCAAATCCATTTCAACACACACAATTTATAATGCAAGCTAAACAAAAATTAAAAGTACTACTGTCCGTAAAATTCCACCTGTTTCTGCAACAAGTCAATAATCCGGAAAAGACTATTATACAAATACTAAAGAAGCATTTAAAATTCAGAAAACGTGATATTTCCATAAGCTGAAAAAATCTACAGATATACAACGCTAGCCATCCTATCAACGTTAAGAAAATCTCAGAAAAGTCCTCAATAACTAACCAACTTATGTTGATGTTCATCATAGATTATTCCAGTGAATCGAATGGTCTCTGAATATTATTTTGCTGAAGTGTTAACGTATACTGATGTTTTTAACACGCTGGACTAAACACTAATATATACTCAAAAAATGCATATATTATATTACTTTTATTTTCATTATTTCAGCGTTTGACATTTTATAGGCTTAAAAAACTTTATTGTGTATTCATAGTAAATTCTCTACGCAGAAGCCAGAAAAAATATTCAACGGAATTACATTAGAGTTGTCAAGCAGAAATCACATTATCGATTTTCGAAATTTGGTTTTATATCTACAGCTGAAAATACTGCACTGGTGAAACCTAAATAATTAAATTCAAACTGACTGATAAAGCTTAAATTTTTAGTGAACCTGACAACACACTGGCTACACGTCATGCAAGAGTAAGCTAAAATCATTCACGCATTGTTACACATCATAAAACTGTA